ATTTATATTAGATTTAGGAAAAAAGATGTTTTGAGTTAATATCAAGGATTGATAAAGTGAAATAGATTGTTCAATTAATTATAACCGTCGGTACGAGGGAGGCCAATACTTGATAAAGACCCCACTATTTCATCCGAGTTAACAATGAATAATTTAAAAGATTCAAGAGTGTGTATCTTTAAGCTGAAAATTCACTTGCCGGGCGGCTTTTCCTCCTTTCTCCGATTACTGCTTGTTTCCTTCTGATAACTCGCTGCCGTTATTACTAACAGAATACTAATGACAGCAATTACTATAAATTACACTTCTCCGAGTCGAATAGCTAGAGAGCATAATAAAACATTGAGTTCGGAAACAACAACAACCAGGATAGACCGCGACAGATAACAGGTTTATGAGTACGCTCGCCAAGCCACAAACCGGTGGAACAAGGCTTTAGGGTCTCGGGACGGTCAACCAACAGGCCGGTAATCCGTAGCACTGTTGCCTCCACTAAAGATACTCGTGCCACTAGCTTTTTCATTTCAACCAAAACCTTACATAAAAAGATTAATTAATTGAAAGAAGTAATGTGGTCAATAGACCACTAAATATAACAGATTTAATAAGTTTAACTTCACTATCAGCTCCCCGTGGCCACTTCAAATGTCGCCGAGATTCGAATCTTGATTACACGACATTTGAAAAATGGCAAAAAGGAGGGAAAATTCGAAAGGTTGTAGGTTGGAATGGGAAGTTGGTTTCCCAATGGATTGAACTCACGATAGCTCAAGTGGTAGAGCAGCGGCGAATCAAGCCGAAGGTTGTGGGTTCGAATCACGCTCGTGACACTGACGTTTTTATCTCAACCATGACCTTACATAAAAAGGATAATTAATTGAAACAAAAACTTGGTGAGTTGACCACTAAAATTTCTTAAATTCTTTCTCTTTACAAACGTTCGTTTCCTCGGCGAAATTGCTCTCACAGGAGTTATTCTACAATATCTTAAAGAGGAAAGCAGTAGCACAATTTTCTTTTCCCAATAAACGCAAAAGATCGCGATCTTATTGAGTGGATTGGTAAATTCAAATGAAATCTTTTATAGCACCAAACGCAGCTTTTCAAACTTCAGCAGATATGCGATAGCTACAGCCCCATAGGGATCCGATTCCGCTAGAAAAGGTGATAACAGTAATAATTGTCATTATTGCCGATGTAACGGAGCTGATGAACCATATGGATGGAACTTTGTTAACGATTGGAATAAATAAAAAAAGATTTAATTTTCACCTTTTTCTATATCTAACTAATCGAAATATTCTGAAGAGGACGTGAGTAGCTTTTTTACTGTAAGGTAAAAAATCAACAAACCACACCTTTTTCTATATCTAACTAATCGAAATATTCTGAAGAGGACGTGAGTAGCTTTTTTACTGTAAGGTAAAAAATCAACAAACCACAACAAGAATGAAACAGAAAAAAAGAACTAAAACTGGGAGAAACTATCCCCTGCTTAAGGCGTCAAAGACCAACCATTCCGCAACATCGTTAAGTTGTGCTGGTTGCCTAACCTTATTTAAAAGGTATAGTTTTAAATCCATTTAATTTCGTGGTCCGATTGACTAAATAACTTCTTTCAATTAATTAATCTTTAAAGTATTGGTTGAAATGAAAAAGCTGAAGTTGGTGACCGAGTGAATCGAAGTCACAATAGCTCAAGTGGTAGAGCAGCGGCGTATTTAGCCGAAGGTCGTGGGTTCGAATCCCGCTCGTGGCGCTAACTTTTTCATTTCAAACAAAACCTTACATTAAAGATTAATTAATTGAAAGAAGTTATTTGGCCAATCGACCACTAAATATAATTTAATAAGTAAAACGAAGTATAACTTCACTAACAGCTCCCCATGGCCACTTCAAATGTCGCCGAGAATCGAACCCTGATTACAAGATATTTGAAAAATGGCAAAAAGGAGTGAACATTCGAAAGGTTGTAGGTTGGGATGGGGAGGTAGTGTTTGAGTAGATCCGAGTACAGACAGAAGAAACACAGTGCAGATACTGCCAGGAAGAAGAGGAGACTGCACAACACATTTTATGTTTCTATGAAGGTAGGTGCAGGTTCTTGCAGCTAGGACCAGAAAAACCAAAAGCAAGATCCTACATCAAGGAACCACTGGCAAAGCTGTGGAGGCTGGTTAATAGCCTGAAGCTGGACAGTGAGTTATAACTAGCAGAGGAGCACACTAGATTTACTTAGGTCGAGGTGCAGTAGGCCTTGTGGCCGCCTCTCATATCTCTATCCCCTATCCATAATAGCTCAAGTGGTGGAGCAGCGGCGTATTTAGCGGAAGGTCGTGGGTCCGAATCCCGCTCGTGGCGCTAACTTTTTCATTTCAATCAAAACCTTACATAAAAAGATTAATTAATTTAAAGAAGTAATTTGGTCAATATAACACTAAATATAATGGATTTAATAACTAAAGATACTATTAAAGTGTGTACCTTCACATCAGCGGAACCGACTCAGTAGTTTTTGCGATTATATAATGAAGCGAAATTATGTTTCTATTAAGTGTTAGCGCCTCCGAACCGTAACTCAAAAGTCCACTAAATTCTCTTCGATCGAGACTTCAGGTGGCCCTAAACCGATGTAGATCATCATGGATGATATAGCATGGCACACTGAGGACTAGGACTATGTAACGGACATCGTTGGCCAAAGCAACTGCCCGGGCGAAATCTTCTAGACGTAAAACCATGCTTTTAAGAAGGATAGAATAGATTAATTTTCTACTCAAATTACTCAAATTGTTATCAAAGATAATAATTTTTAAAATATTAATTCACTCGACAAATTGGCTCTGGAAAGGATGAAATTGAACTGGTTTTATTTATTTTTAATTTCAATTAATTATTCTTTTTATCTAAGGTCTTGGTCGAGATCAAAAAGTTAGCGTCACGAGTGCAATTTATTTTTAATATAAAGAGTGTAAAAAGATTAGTAACATTTTATTAAAGGTAAATACAAGCGTCTTTTTTCTTTTTAGTGTATAATTAGAAGGTTGTAAAAACGAAGTTATATACAACAAATTTCTCATAAGATAATTTCAAAAGTTGAATTTTACCTGAAATCAAATAAAACAAAATAAGATATCAGTGAGAAATGAAGTTTTTCCGGAGAGACAAATTGTTCAACTTAAATCAAATATTGACTCGTTAGAGATATTTTAAGAAGAGAACAAACTGAATCTCTTGCTCGATGTATTTCATTACTGTTTTTTCCCAATGAAAGATTTGTTGTTCTTGTTTTAGAAATTAAGTCCACAAGAGCTCAATGCTGGGTTGTTAAAATCATTAAAAGAGCTTTTCTCCTTCACTCTCATCTTTCGCCTCTAAATCTGGAAATTTAATAATAATACGTATTGATCGTAGCAAACGAGATGCATTCCAATAAGGCACACTTTTCATGTCGGGAGGCGAGTTAGTAACTCCTTCAATCTGATGATGAGCGTTTAATGCTCGAAATCCAGATAGTTGTAAACTCAGTGAGTAGGACCATCATTTACAAAAGTCATTTATTCCCTTCATCGGCCTATTTTGAGCAGATAACAAGAAAATGATAAAGGTCCTCAATTTCATTTTACTAGGATTCGGGACATTGTTCTTTAACGGTTAAACTAAAATTTCAATTTTAATTCGTCAATCTTTATTTTGTTGATCCATCTGTTTTTCATATGTATCGAAGTTTAAAATTTTCATTGGGTATGGCCAATTTTGTAGTATTTACTTTCCTAGTATTTTTATTATAAATAATTGCATTCAAATTTATTAGAAATTATTATGTTTTTTACTGATGGAAAATTTAATTAAAGGATTTTGAAAATAACAAAATAAAAGTTTTAATTCCATAATTTTGTTTATTGGGCACAATAATTTTATTAAACAATTATTACCGTGCACAATGTCCTCTGTTAGCTAAAACCCCTGTGCACGGTCGTCACTAATTTCATTAGGAATTTCACTCCATAGATGTTGCAACGCTTTTTTTTTTTTTTTTTTTTTTTTGGAACATTCAGCAAGCGTACGGACCTATGAAGTATCAAATTCCATTTTTTAGCATGACTAGAAATTCATAAAGCAATAAATAAATAACAAGTAACGAGAGCAATTAACGAGAGCAATAAAGATTGATCGACACAATAAGTACTAAGAATAAAAAATTTCGGTGCGAAAACAACAACAGCAAAGGATAACAACAACATGAATAAATAAAGGTGCAGACATAACAAATTACATTTTGACAAAACTAACAATTTGAAGACATAAACTAATAAATTAATAACAAGTAACAGATGCAATGATTAACTATCAACTAACTACAATAAATACTGCAGAATAAATACAGATCAAACGCTCGGGAAGCTAATAGCCGTCCTACGAGAAGGGGGTCTCTGCCGGCCGCAGAAAGCCATCCCCGGGGAGGCTCTCGTCCACGGTTTTACACAATTTAAAAGGCTACTGTTCGTCATAAAACGGGTGTTTCAGGAGGATGTGGATAAAAACCATTTACAAAATATGACGCATTGTCCTATGGAAAAGTCCACATCCCGGGGACTAAATGCCCAGCGCGTTTAGAGAGCCCGACCCGAAGACAGCCCCGCCTCCGGGCTGAAACCCAAGGGGATTGAACCGACCTCTACCTTAACGATTTCACGTTTACACGTTGATGCCACTATTTTGTAAGAAGGAATATATGACCTGGTATACGTCCACTCTGTTAAGAGCAAGTAGGCTCTCCCAGCTGATGGTTTGTTGATTTCTTTTATGTTGTACAGATTTTCAAGGAAGTATGTTCTGGTAGACTCGTATTCTGGACACTCTAAAATCAAATGCTTGATAGTTTCTGGTTGATCACAGGTGGGACAGTTTGGGGACGCTCTACGATTTATTTTGTGCAAATAAGCCCCGCAAATGTAGTGGTTGGTGCGTATCCGAGTCATTGAAGGATAAAATTTTTTTCATCCGAATTTGGATGTTGCAAACCATGGGATGGAGCGCAATTCTGGGTGTAGCGATTTGTAAAAGTTTCCCGCTGTTCCGCTGTTGTACCAGTTGCGCCACTCCACTAGCCGTTTGTTTAAAGTACGTTTCGCATCTGTCTTTGGCAGTTTTATGTCCTGGTATTGTCCGGCTGTTGTCGCTCGTTTGGCTAACTGATCTACTTTGTCATTACCCTTTATGCCACAGTGTCCGCGACACCAACAGAAAGCTGTTTGTATGTGGCGATGCCGTAAGGTACAAACGATATTGACAATGCGTGTCACTAGATAGTCGCACTTTGAGTTGGGGTGGAAACGTTCTAATTGCTTGATGGAGCTCATGCTGTCTGATACAACAGCGAAGCGTGTGCCCTTAAGTGTCGCAATGTACTCCAGAGCGCAGACAAGAGCGTACATTTCGGCAGTGAAAATGGATGCCTGACTGGGAAGGGAAAACATTTTTTCCACCTTGGCTGAGGGGTCGTATATAGCGCAGCCTACTTGTCCTTCTAGTAATGATCCATCGGTGAATATTAATTGGGAGCCTGGTACCGCCGTAGTAATATCTGCCATGAAAAGTTCGTTCACTATTTGTGGGGGATACTCGGAGTAGTCCCTTAAATAAATAGTTGTTAGTGAAGTGGTGGCCCTGGGGTAGTCTAGTTTTAACGTAGGGGAAATGTTACTTTTGTGAACTGAGTGTATGTCTGGGGTCACAGCCAGGAAAGCGCTTACAATAGGGGGAGAATTATTCTTTAACCAGTGCTTCTCAGTCAGAAATGCCTCTGTTAGAGCTGCGATTTTTGCCAATAGAAAACTACCTGAGTGGTGTAGGTTGATTATTTTGTTCACAGCTAGCTTGGAGAGTCTCACGGGGAGGGGGGGCTCGCAAACTTCCGCTGATAGTGCAGTTATTGGGGTACTGGGTAAGGCGCCAATTATGCGTCGCAGACACTTGTTGCTAAATGTCACTAACTTTTTAAGTTCCGTCCTTGAGGCTTGTCCATAGAGTATAAGACCGAAATCAAGCAGAGACCTTATAATAGACTTGTAAAACATAAGACCAATGTGGGGGTCTACGCCCCACTTTCCCCCTGGGGTTCTCGATAGATCCTTTGGCTCCTCTTATCACTATAGACAGAAACTCCTTGCCAAAACGTGTTGTACTTCATTTAGAAAGGGTTCCCGTCTTACAGCAGTAACAATATTTTTGTTCTCCCTTAACGTCGTAATGCGCTGAGGTCCACTACCAAGCCACCTATTGGCACTTCCCGTTTCTCGGAATCGGGCCAAAGCCCGGGAGACCACGCTCTGAGGTCCGCCAACTGCCTCTGCGATATCCACTCAATGACTCCTTTTCACAATAACATAGCGAACTTCTGGTTCAAGATAACGTCTTTCCATGGTTCAAGAGAATACAACTGTATTACAATGGAGAAAAGACGAGAAAAAGTGTTTGTTTATAGAATGACTAATCTTCATGTTTACTATTCTTTAGTAAATCCTTATTAAAACATGAGGATTAACTTTTTTTCTATTTTGTTTTATCCATCTAACAAGAAAATATCGAGTAATTTAATTAAAATTAATAACATAAGAATAAATTACCTATTCATTTTTGAGCAGTTCGTATACGATATTTTATATGTATTATGGTTAAGTCAATGCAGATAGAAAATTATAATCATTACAAAATTCCTTACAGAAACGGAAAAGCGCATAGTAACATTTTGATTTATAATAAAAAGTAATTAACTGTAACAATTTTGTATGGTAGGCAACAATTGCTTGTTTTTGGTTGGATTAGTAAAGAAATTATTTTTAGTCCTTTTAGTTATATGAGCAAGGTTAAAATTATCAATGCAAAGGAGCAGATCAGCCAGGCTGAGTTATAAATATAAGTGTCAGTCATCTGCATACAGATGGAATAAAAGAGACGTAAAAGTAAAATAGGTACCAATAATGTAGATGAAAAATAAAAGAGCGCCTAATATGTATAATTGTGGATTAAAATATTTGGAGTTGAAAATGACTCTTTTTTTATCTATGATTTGATAGTTTTAATGATTTTTTAAATTAAATTTATTTATTAAAACTGGTCTTATTAGACCAACCATTAATTTTACAATAATATTATAGAATAAATAAATGTTTGCATTCTTATAAACTCATTGGTACAATAAGATTTACATTTCACTATTCACTATTCACTTTTAACGACACAAGTTCATATGGCTTTGTTCTTTTTAATCTTCCGACCATGTTTCGGTTATGTAAGAGTTTGGTCGCTTCCACATTCTCGTGCTGGCTGAGGCGAGCCTGGTTTGTGGCGGCAAATCTTTGTATTTCCGTCGTGACTTCAGTGATCTTAAGATCCCTATGTAAGTCCTTATTCCTTATGTACCAAGGTGCATTGACCATGTTACGTAAGATTTTATTTTGGAGTGTTTGTATGATTTTGATATTGCTGTGTTTGGTACAACCCCATAGTTGAATACCATATGTCCACATAGGCTTTATGACTTGTTTATATAATAATATTTTATTTTGTATAGCAAGATTGGAGCCACGTCCTATCAACCAGTATAGTTGTCTATACCTTAAACCTATTTCTGTCCTTTTTTTCTTCACGTGTTCTTTCCATCTCAGCTTGGCATCTAAGGTCATTCCCAGATATTTAGCTGTATTGCTGTATGGTATAGTAGTTCCATCGATTATGAGCGACGGAACATGGTCCACCTTTTTGTTTGTAAAGATTATATGAACTGATTTATGTTGATTTAGCTTGATTTTCCATTTTTTTGTCCATTCGTTTATCTTATTACATGCATTTTGGAGGATTTTGGTTGAGTGGGTGATAGTCGGTCCTAGTGATATCACCGCTGTGTCATCTGCAAACGTTGCAATTTTTACTCCATCTATTTTCGGAAAATCACTGGTGTATAACAAGTAAAGCAGTGGACCTAATATGCTACCTTGTGGCACTCCTGCATTTATTGTTTTTAATTTTGAATATTGATCTTCTTGTTTGACTCTAAACAGTCTGTCAGTTAGGTAGGAACTGATAATATCGACATACTGCTTTGGTAGCATACCTTTTAGTTTATTGATGAGTCCTTCGTGCCAGACCTTGTCAAAAGCTTGTGAGACATCAAGGAAGATAGCAGAACAAATTTGTTTTTCTTCGAGAGATTTTTCTATTACTTCCGTTACTCGGTGAATTTGGTCTATTGTTGAGTGTCTTGCTCGGAATCCAAATTGGTGGTCAGGAATGATTTTCTTTTTTTCAACGATGTGTTTTATTCGTTTTAATAATAACTTTTCGAAGAGTTTAGACACTGTTGGTAGTAGCGATATTGGTCTATATGATTTGACCTTGTTCGCCGGTTTTCCTGTTTTTTTTATCATAATGACTTCTGCGGATTTACAGATGCTGGGAACATATTTCAGTCTGAATGATTTGATAGTTTTAATGATAATACATTTCTTTTTCTTATACTTTTTGTGTATCGTTAAGTCTTATGTTTTTGTTTATTGATTATTGCACCTTCTGACTTAATAAGGATAAAACTGTACGTTTTACCATAAATACGGAACCATTCTCACAGTACACAGTAATTTAATTTGTAATAGTTTATTTACGAAACTGAAACGTATAAATTATGCAATGCAATAGAAAAATGTTTAACGGCTGATCAATAATTTAAGAGTAATAGCTGTGAAATTTCTCCATGCAGTCTAAGGGGTTATGAACGTGTAATCTGGTCGTTACTGATTTTCAACACTAAAAACTCATGATTCACAAAGTCATAACAGCTCAGAGACATGATTTGAAACATTTAAAACACTATACAATTTTAAAAAAACTAACAATTACAATGACCTAACGGTTATCAACTAGCCAATGGGAAGACCAATCGGTAACGTCAAAATAACAATACTAACTGGTTAGTTCTTTCCCTACTACAGGATAAAAGCGCTTAATAGGTACAATTAAATACAAGATAATTGAATATGTTAGCATTTTCTGAAGTTCTATTGTTCTGGAGTTTTGTTAAAATCTTGAAGGTGCCTTGAAGAGAACATTAAAATTGACAAAAAAAATTATACTGCGTCCTTAAAGAGGAACTAAAGGAAGAAATCATTTCCGCTATGAAAAGAAATTCTATTGTTGGCAATAATGGAAAGAGGACAATCCAGTCGGGGGCACTATGGTCCGACAAATGGTTCTTAATAATGCCACATCGAATACCAAGAAATACTAGAGTTGATTATAAGAAAAACCGGAGTATAGGAGAAAAACTCGCTTTAGAACAGGTTGTCCTTTTGCTTTATACATATTGACCCTTACGTTTTTTGAAGGAAGGCCCCTTTCATTTAAGAGATATTCTCTTGAGGCATCGCCAGCGCACGGTAGCACCAATGAGATGGAGCAGAAAAGTCCAACACAATATAAAAATTGTAATTCGTAGTAATAACACTAAGCCTTTCATGCCATCAAACTTAACTTCTTACAATCACATCATTTGTGACTTGACGATAAAGAATATTAAAATGAGCCAAGCTCCCTTGAACGACTAACAAGGAAAACTGTCATGCGACATCAAAGAACGCCACAGGACATCCTACACAGGATAAATATTTGTGAAAATGACAGTTGTGTGAGTGGGCAGTTTAATAATAACATATAATTGAACCCATAAAAGCTGCTTTTTTCCGTCTGCCAATTCTTCAAAGACGACTTCTGACATTCAAAAAGCGAACGCAGTTTTTGTAAAAAAGATTGTTCGTTAAAAACATAATTAAATTTGTAAGTGTCGAAAATTTCAGGAGGTATTTCTACTCACCATATGCAACAAAAACCTTTCTATAAACCCCTTTCCAAATCTCAACGATAAAGAAGGAATTTCAGGGTTTTTTCCAACTTAGGTCCACTAAATTGCTTAAAAATTTCAAAATTACTGACTGAATTACTAATTAATTACGGACTAATTTATGAAAATATTCTGCACGAACAATTCGGAAAAAAGTTGAAATTTGGAATTTTTTGAAAATGTTGGGTTGGTAACTGTTTATAACTACAACTGGAGCTTTGCAAATTTCCTCAAACAATTTCCATTCAATTAGCTTTCAGCGGTATACCCACCTTTTTGGATTGCACTACTGGAAGGCCCAAAAATGTTGCATTTTGTTGAAGAAAACTGGTGTCGATGAAGGGGGGTGCACGCTCAATTTTTCCAGAAAATCCGTCTAGATCTTGGGTTTCGTGTCAGTTCTTAATTGTTCAATTCAATCAGTTTGCTTTATGTTAACCTCCAGGAGATTGTGGTTAGTAACAGTTACCAATCCAACATTTTTAGAAAATTCTAAACTTCAATATTTTTGTTTTTTCTGAATTTTTCGTCAATTCTGCAGTGTATATAGGTGTTCTTACAGCAAATTGTACGTTCTTTCAGATGGCACAAACCAGATTTTTTTACAGTCAGTAATTCTGAAGTTTATCCACCGAAAAAACTACTGTAGCTTTGCCTTCAATACGCTCCTACATCCATAGTTAAGAGTATATATTTCGCGTCAACTAGCCCCTGAAAAATCCCAGAGAAGAAAATTTTATAGTTGTAGAATTTTGAACCAGAAAAGTTTGGATAGATACGAACATGCTTACCATCAATTGCTGAATACAATTCAGGCATGGATGGACAAATTCAGGCCAAATACTAAATATTAATAAAAATATTAATAAATATTCGTCGACAGAATCGGGCATCTGAAATTCGGCCGTCACCGGCAGACCAAAAGTCGGCTCTGGTATAAACCTTCCCTAACGGTCCAGTGTACAATTTTTTTGTTTATAAACCACGGCACCCCGGGGCTGATTTGATTTCTGTAGTCATGAACTTCCTTTAAAAAATATATATTATAAAATAAAGCAATTCGGGCTTACAAAATATTTCAGTACAACTCGGGCAAACAGAACGTCCAGTAAAACCAGTCAACATATTTTTACTTCATTAAAAATTATTAAACCACCATTATTAAACCCAGACCGAGTCAAATTC